AGAATTCAGAAATTTGCGACATGAAAACAACTGTTGTATTTAAATAAGTAATTTATATAGATATATAATATAATCGTCTGTATAATATTTTATTTTACGTTACGGGAGAGATCGTGGCCATGATTGCTGTAAATTCGAAACGTCGCGCGTCGGGAACAAAAACTCAAAATAAAACCACGTCATCTATAAAATTGTAACTAAGCCGAATCTGCACATTGAATATTTTTTGGAAAATTTCATTGAAATAGACTTTATTATCGATAGAGAGGCCGAATCTATAGTTTTTAGAATTTTTATCTGTCTGTCTTTCTGTCTGTCTGTCTGTTACCGCATCACGGAAAAAACACTGGATGGATTTTGATGAAATTTGGCATGAATATAGCTGGTTATCCGGGTCAACATATAAGATACATTTTACCGCGGGAAAACATCTAATTTCTGAGAAAAAATACAAAATCTGCATGGTAAGAGTATACTAATATGTAAAACTTAAAAATTTGGAGCCGCGGGTAATGCTAATCATTTATAATTTCAAATATTCGCGTTAATCTAAAACAGATTATCATATAGGTACCTACTATAAAAATACGTAATAACACAATGTATGGTTTTAGCAAACAAACATATACGAGACAAAGAGTAGTGTCTGTCAACATAATACCGAATGTGATTTCGTCGCGTGTCGACTTGTACGTTGTATTTATCTTTCTGAATCTCATCGGAAGTGTATCCTTGCAAACACAGGGCACCATTATTTTGGTGTAGTCACACTAACTTTAATTCGAAGAAACTTCTAAACACTGTAACAGTAAGCTCTATGGTAGATAGGACTTATAGGTAATTTAATATAAAGACAGATAATTTTCTGGATATAACTTATGATTATTGAAATACAAAGCGAGCAAAGCCGTTTGCGATAACTAATAGAGAAATAAATTAAACACAAACATCAAATGAGAAGAAAAAGACAGCAAAGAAGATAAACATTTATTTAAAAAAAGTTAAAACATGTTTTCCAACTGGCTACTTCTTACAAATGTAAACATACTAGCATTGCCCGCGGCTCCGTCCGCGTTCAGATGACCAAAATCCAAATTCTTAGGTTTTACATATTAGTATACTCTTATATTGCAGTTTTTGTATTTTTTCTCAGAAATGAGACATTTTCCCGCGGTAATAAGTATCTCATACGTTGACCCGGATGACCAGCTATATTCATACCAAATTTCATCAAAATCCCTCCAGGGGTTTTTCCGTGATGCAGTAACAGACAGACAGAAAAAAATTATAAAAACTATAGATTCGGCCTCTGTATCGATAATAATGTCTATTTCAATAAGATTTTCCAAAAAAAAAAAAATGTACAGATTCGACTTAGAATTTTATTATATGTATAGATAGACTAAGAGTATTGATATTATCTTATATCATTCCATGCTTTAAAAACAAAAACAAATGTACCTTTATTTTTTCAAATTATTAAAAATATATAGAAATAAATATGTTTGTCCAAATATTTGTCTACATAGTTAAAATGGTTTTAAAATATGAGAAGCACCATTTAATTTAAAATGTATCGAAATAGTATTTTTAATAGATATGGTTTTTTTATTTGTGTACTTGTTTATTCTATTTTTTAAATGATACTTAATATACTTATTTTTAAAACTATAGTTAATTGAATGTAATTTACGAGGCAATGTCAACGTCTTCTTTCAATAAACATCTACAAATATTAGTAGTATCTACGCTCTTTGATCTAAGATGCGATCATTTTAAGTCAACGTGTGTTAATTAAGATCAAACAAGACATCAGACTGGGTTTGTACATGTTGACGAGCATTTTAAGCAGTACAGTGTTTTCATAGCAAATAACAAGTTTTCTTCGAGACGTAGTTCGGGAAAAACAAATTAAGTACTTAATGTACGCAAGGTAAAAGTTTAAAAATTTATACATATTATGTACGACCGTATGTACGTAAACGGTGATTCCTAGAATATATCTCAGCGATATTTTTATTATTACGGATTTATAACACTACTAGCGACGAACCCGAGCGAAGCGAGGGTTCGTCGCTAGGTACGTTTTAAATAGATATAAATAGTTATTAGCCAGCGTTAGCCATATAATTTTTTTTTTTGTTAATAATATTGACAAATATTGACATTAATATTTATACGATTCTAACGTCACTCAATTGCCATCAATGTTCTGCCTTCCCCGAACCTCTCCACTAACACTTAAACTTTATGTTATGGTATTAAAGTTCAAATTGATTTTTAAGTATAATTACGAATCTTTTGTATGGGAGTATAGAAAAGTGTTGTTTTTAGACTTTTTTAGGCAATTCTTTAATTTTTCCCTCCGTAAGAACCATCCTCGTACTTTAAGGAATATTCTAAAAAAAGTATTAGCGAAATCGGTTCAGCTGCTCTCGAGATTTACGCTTACCAACACATTCAGCGATTCATTTTTATATTATAAAAAAAAATTATCATTTGATACTATAGATAAAATATTGAACATTACAAAGTTCAATAAAATCTTAGTCTAATTATCCATTTTATTTAAAAGTTTAGTAATTTTTAAATGAAATACATCGCTGACAATCTTTTCTAACGAAACTTTGCGCGTTCACTAGAGAGAGACAAAAAATGAATGACAAAAACTTACTAATTTCAATCTGTAACATATAATTGTATTCCATAGAAACATGAAAATACGTCGTGTTACGGTTAGATAGAATTTTCAGTAATTATCTTAATCGGATTATGGTTGTAGTGGTGACGTCACTAGGCAACTACCCTCAAATCTCGCTTTAATTGCTCCTTAAGCCTATAGATCGATTTGAGCTTTAAAATATTTATATTTTATTTTCCTATTTCATATTGTTTTGTTTATATATTTCTAATATGCATCGTAAATGGGGAAGTGTGTTTGTAGGTTTGTTATTCATTCTTGCAACAAACTATTGTAATATAATTATTGCTTCTAGTTAAACATGCTACTTTTTCATTTAATGTCGTCAATGTAGTAATCCACGTGGGAATTTCTTTTAATACAGAAAGTAAGGGTTTCTTTTAACGTTGGGAAATGCATTTACTCACGAGGTGTGGGACTCACCGGCAAAGCCAGTACTACCCACTAAAACCCAACAAAACCTTCCCCCGTCTTAATGCGGCGTCGGAGGATCGCTTACGCATTTAACTACGACGCCCCGACGGCAGTTCTGCCGAAGCAGACCACAACAACCATGGGATTCCTCCAAAGTCCACTCTGCTATCAGAGAAGTACCAGTAGCAACCCTCATGGTACACCGCCCACCGAAGAGGGCCACCCTCCACCGCCCACGGAAGTGGGCCACCTCCCTGTGCGTTTCTTGGCTTCGCGGCCGGTGGATTCCGGGTACTACTGAGCCCCCCACGACGGGGGGGAAGCAAAGTAAGGGTGCGCCACTAGTGTTAATATATAAAATTATCTTAGCAAGTTCAAATTATATTTCTAAGAGATAATGTTTCGATATAAATATCCGAAGTAGTAGTAGTTCTTGCTTGATTACTTGATGGTTAAACAATATTGGTAAACACTAAACACACAAAATATTTAAAAAAAGTCGTGAGGGGTCTATGGTACCCCGGTTTGGAACGAAATTCCTTTCCTTTTTGATAGACGTTTGCTATACAGTCATTATAATTTATATTATAAAATATCAATTTGATAGAGTTCAATTGAAAAATTTATGATAAAATATATTTATTATGTATATGATAAATTAAACACTGAATGATCCGGTATAATTAAGTTAATAGCAAATAAAAATTTAAGAACTGTATAAATTTTATTTTATTAAAAAAGATGTGAGCGTCGATACGCCTGATGCCACTTTCATAGTCAATGGCGCGCGATGCGGGGAGAGACTACCTAGCCGAGTCAAACTATTATACATATACTTACAGACGCCGCTCTAAGTGTCGTGCAGAAGGCGCGCGGCGCGGTAAGAAGCTACTAGCCGAGTATAACTGCAGAAAGTCGAAGAGAAGAGAGCAGTCGAGTATTTCGGCGCGCGGCAAAAAGTGTCGGAAAAAATCTTATTACACTTTTTCCGGTCTAGCCCTCATCCGCTCAAAGCGTGTAACGCGTGATAAAGAACTTTGTCGCAAAATATAAAATATCCTCTATACAAAGATAAAGAGGTACCTATTTTATTTACAAGGAAAAAATTTACTTTTTACTTAATAGATATAAATAAAACAAATGTACACTACATATACCTATGTACATATATATACATGTCATGTCCATGTGGAGAAGTAGCAAGAATGTAAGTTGTGTTTTCCCACTGAATTACTGAATTCACTTTAAATATTAAGTAAGTAATTTAAGTAAGATTCGAACCTGCTATCCTCCAGACTGTAGTCAGTGTCTATTGCATTTAGCAATTTCTTATGTTAGTACTTAAGCCCATTATATCTTATCTATTAATCAATCTAAATGGTGTGATAAATAAATAATAATATCTAAAACTTTATTATCTGATTTATTTAAAATCTTTTACAGTATTATTTTGAAAGGTCGATTAGAGTGAATGAACTCTAAGACAGTAACAAATTTAAGCTCATGAAATTGATGGATACGCTACTGTCATGCATATATGAAATTAATATTATGTATTGAAAATTTTAAGGCATTTTTTATCCCTATAGTACACATATTTGAAATTGAATTAAAAATACAAAGTTTAAAATCAAGCTAAGCTTAAATCTTTTAAATCTTAATATGAATATTGAATACGCATAAGAATTTAGCATAAATATATATTTTCTATAAATAATTCTGAAATGTAATAATATATACAGACATATATAATAGAAATCTGTTCAGTGGCTTAAGCGTGAAAAAGTAACAGAGAGACGGACAGATATCTTCTCATATTTATTTATTATATTCATATGGAAAATAACAGGTTCGATTCTTACACGTTGCTTGTATATTTATATTATGCATATTGACCATATAGGTGCAAGTTTAACTGCCTCGGTGGTCTAGTAGCTAGCATGTGCGGCCGCAGATCCGAATGTTCTGGGTTTGAGGCCCCGTTCGGACCATTTCTGTTAATGAGTATTTCTGTTAAGAAATTCTCAGTAACAGCCCGGTGTTGGGAAGTTGGCGGTGTTTCACCCCCGTGCCTCGGAAAGCATGTGAAGCCGTCGGTCATGTGCCTTAACTATCACTGCTCGTGTCGAGTAGTCGTTCCACCGGAGTATAAGAGTGACAGAAATAAAGAGTGCACTTGTGTTTTCACGCACACACGCTGCACTATAATATCTCCTGCGCAGTTGGCTAGTCTCAGTGAGATTGGCCGCCGTACCTAAATCGGTCGGAAGGACATTATAATAATTACTAGTTCTGGTCGGATTACGTTATTAGATACCTTCACTAATATTTAACTGCTCTTATTTTGTTTAGGTCCACAAAGGTACGCTTTATTTTTTTATTTTTTTTATATTAACACACAGACCAATCTAGTTCCATGGTGAGCTACGAGGCTTGTGTTATGAATACGAGGTAGTTGATACATACACATATACATATAATTTTAAATAAATACATATTACAAATATAAACACCCACGACTAGAGTACAAAATATATTCGTGCTTATCACACAAATGAATGCCCCCAGCGGAACTCGAACCCGCGACCGCTAGCACAGCAAATAGGATAACTACAAACTGAGCTAAAGGTGTATACGATTTTCTATACTTATATACCTGTTAACATTTTAAACCCATAAAACTTCAGATTTTCGATATATATTTTTTCTCTTGAAAATAAACCGATTCCGATTGGTCTGAATATCAAATAGTGAAATTCTGATTAAAGAGATCGCATATCTTTTTAAAAACAAGCCTTGTAAATACAATTGTAATATCGAGAAAACGACAAAACCAACGTAAAGACTTAACCGTCATAGAGAATTAAACACGCTTCATTGGCTTCTCAAGTGGTGATGGAACTGATTGGCCAGCTTAGCTTTAACAATAGCCTATAGAATAACTAAAAACGTCGTATCTGCAACATATCTGTAATTAAAAAAATAACCTTATATGAACCAGATGAGCTCTATAATAGGTTGTGTTTGTTCATACGTTATATGTTAAATTATAGAAAAATAATGCATCTGCTTAGACGGATTTTATGTTTCATTGATTGGCATTGTTAAGAATCACTGCAAGGGTACGGACGACATAATACTCTCGTCTGTTTTACAAACCGGTGACTTTCAACGAGAGACAATAATTCGATAAAGAAAGAGGTCTGTTATAGATTTTTGTTTATAGCATATTATTTATTTACAAATATGTTGATACAATATTATTTATAATATCCTGAAATGATAATATGTTATTATTATTAATTTATGAATATAGAGTACCCAGATTCGATTCTCGTTTGAGATCAATCATACTGAAATTAACATTAACATTGACCATGTTACAATACAATATTATAAGTTTTAAAAAAACGTTAACATAATTAACAATGAAATGTATAAAAAAACCTTAAAATGATGAAAATATTAGAATATTATAATGACGACGATAATAATTAATAATCATTTTCATAATAACTTTTAGAATTTGTAGCTGTACTATTTTCTCTTTGATTTCAAACAATATTAGATTGCATATCATATCTCTGTAATATATTTTAACACAAATCATAACCAATATTCATTTAATTATTAAATATGAAGATTTATAGGCTTTACATTAATGAAACTTGAGCAGTCGATGAACTAAGCCGTTGTCTCTCGAAGGCCAATAACTCCTTTGAACTTTAGTTTGACGATAATATTTGCATATTTTATACTAAAAATAATAGCTTGACACTAATGACTAAAAAGGTGTTTTATTTAATACTTTTAAATATATTAGAACACTTTACAATAATTTTAATAATGTTGACATTTATGAAAGCAGAAATTAATTCGTGAATCAAAATCGATGAAAATATATATATATATATCTTCTTCTCCCTGCCCATTTCCCAATTATACTATATATACTACTCTTATTATATATATATATATATATATATATATATATATATATATATATATATATATATATATATTCATCGATTTCGATTTATTCGTGCTTTATTAGTTACTTTATATTTTTGTATTCTTCACGAGGTATGAGTACTTCGTTCTCAAAACTAAAAATTAACCTCGTCATTTCTAAAGTCTATCTATTATGTGTACCACATTTTTACAATACTCGTAAACGTCTATATAACGACAATTTAATGATGTATCGTTGTTGTAAGTGTGTAAGCTAAACAGCTTTATAAAATTTTCATAAATTTTGAATGAACTTTCTTTGAAATGTAAATATGTATTGAAAAATTGATATCACAAAATAAAAGCACAAATATTTGCAGCTGAGTTTATAATAGAATTCACCGCGTCTGTATATACTTTTATATTAAGGATTATGAGTCTTAAAAAAACTTTTTTTTTATAAATTCAATCGTGAATATAATTTACTGCAATAATCATGACTATGATTAAAGTAACCTTTTTTAACGTTGGGAAATGCATTTACGATTACCACCTGCATACATACAGGTGGTTATGTGGGACTCACCGGCTATAATAACCAGTCCTACCCACTAAAACTCTGACAGCTGGTTTACTGAGGCAGACCACAACGATGAAGGGAACTACTCTCACGGTCCACTCTTTTATTAGAGAAATACAATTAGGGATTTAAGAAACCTGTTTCGTTATCATTTAAGATAATACATACTAACATTATAAAATATGTGAAAGTATGTTTGTTTGTTTGTCCTTCTTTCACGTCGAAACGGAGTGACGGTATGGCGTGATTTTTTGCGTGGGGATAGTTGGAGGGCTGGAGAGTGACGTAGACTTTATCGCGGGAGATTATCTAATTCCCACAGGAAAGTACGCTATAATACAATTCTAAAAATATTAATGATCAGAATAACTTGAAACTTATTAATGCTCTTCAATAAAATTTAATAAACACGTGTTTTAGGATTTTTTTTAAATTCACCTATAAGGGGGTAAAATAGGGGATGAAAGTTTGTATAAAACTACCTTTTTAGAGATTTTTATGTAGTTTTAGCGCGAGCGAAGCCGCGGGTTCTGCTAAAAAGATTTTTAATACGTATAAAAGGTTTTTAAATTTTATGTTTTCATCGTCAAAATTTAAAATAATGAGAATATTGAGTCAACTCTCTAGTGTTAACAGTAACATGAACCTAATTTCAAACTCATACATTTTATTCAAAGTAACAGATGAGTGATCATAGGCGTACCTCTTTACACTCTGAAAATATTAATATTATTGTAATATCTCAGTATGGGTACTTATATTATTATTATTTTGAACGGCAGAATTACATATGTTATTCAGCCTTTTTTAACGTCCTACTGCTGGGCACGGGCCTCCCTTCAATACGAGGGGGATCAGGCCTTAGTCAACCACGCTAAGTGGCCAAGTACAGGTTGACGGAATTCACATGTCTTTCGAGAACTTGCTATGTTCTCTCAGACATGCAGGTTTCCTCGCGATGTTTTCCTTCACCGTAAGGCAAGTGGCAATCACGTTTCCCAAGCGAGCGCGTTACCACTGGGCTACCACTGCCTAACTAAATATGACATGACATGAAATAGACGATCTCGTAATGGAATTATAAGATTACATTATATGCTACATATTGCTAACTATTGAGAAGTACCAGGCTTTCCCATGTAATACGACATAATACGAATCGACGTATATCTGAGCGGTACGTCAAGATTGTGATCTGCGTTTATTCTGCGTCTCTGCGTTTATATTATTTATCAGCGTTTTGCAATCTTATTGAGTATAGATAGATTTAGATCGTTTCATTGTTATATCTTATTCAATATAAATTGAAATAAATAATAAATTGCATGTTTCTTAATATTTTTGTCTGACCAAGTATTTTTAAACAAAACTATCTTTTCAGATTATTTCGCGGATTTGTTTTGATTTTTGGTTCCCGTGTTTCGAATGCTTTGTAGCAATCATGGTCACGGGAGAGACCCGTCTTTCCTTTCTCTCCCGAAAAAATATATCTGAAAAGATAGTTTTATTTGAAATGTCAAATATTCGCGTAAATATAAGAAAGTATTGCTAAGTATTTATTTTAAATGATTAAACGTTATATTGATTTTCAATATTAGACAAAGTTTCCTTCTAAACTGACCTTCCATAGTTTTATAATGCAAAGTGGTGAACGAACATATATACATATATATGTTGGCACGGCGGCCAATCTATTCGAGACTAGCCAACTGCGCAGGAGATATTATAGTGCACAAGTGTACGCGCAGACACAAGTGCACTCTCTATTCCTGTCACTCTCATACTCTGGTGGGACGACCAATCGGCACGACCAGTGAGAGTTAAGGCGCACGACCGACGGCTTTACGTGCTCTCCGAGGCACGGGGGTGATACACCGCCAACTTCCCAACTCCGGGCAGTTACTGAGGCTTACTATACAGAAAGACTCAATAACTAAACTCGACCCGACCCGGGACTCGAACCCAGGATCTCGAGGTGTGCAGCCGTACATGCTAGCCACTACACCACCGAGGCAGTTTATATACAATACATAAACCAACCACTCCAACGTCACAATGTACCGTATACCAATAAGTTTATTACTGTAACGTATTTAGACGTCACCATGGAAGCAAATTAATTGTAGACAGAGTCACCTTTGTTCTCATCAAGACAATGTAATTACTTCAATAAGCTGGCTAAATCTAAGCCCTCGTGTACATTTACTGACTTTAAAATTTACATAAAGAAAATTTTAATTTAATTTAAAATAGCATCAGACGATTAAACTAGGTTTGAAAATAACTAGGCACATATCCATACATATGTATAGTAAAATTCTGAGTCGAATCTGTACACTAAATATTTTTTGGAAAATCTTATTGAAATAGTCATTATTATCGATACAGAGGCCGAATCTATAGTTTTTATAATTTTTGTCCGTCTGTCTATCTAGGAACGCATTACAAGAAAACCATCTCATCTCTGAGAAATCTATACTTAAGTGTTTACTTATTTTCAAACTTAAGTTTATGCTTGGTAACGATATTTTTAACAATACAACACTAAAATTACAGCTACAGTAAATTAT